ATAATAAAAAATTGTGTAGGCGTGCCATACAGTTCACCTATAAACGATGTGAGTTATATCGACGAGCCAAGTGAGACGCCAAGTCGAATCTGGGAGTGTTGAGTAATTGGAAGCCTTACGAGCACTCGAGCTCGGCTGTTAACTATTTAAACTCGCATTTCCTTTTCTTCCTACATAACCATACCCATAACCATACCCAGTAAGACGCTTGTTTGGCTCTATGTCCTCCTATGTTCTTCATACAACTCGACCGTCTTTTCCCTGCAAAACCTAAATCCTTCAAAAAGCTCTACACTGAACAACCAAACAACACCTTTTGCAGCGACTTCAACTGCGTACAACAAACACTTTAACCAACGTTGTTTCATCCCACTAACAGGCTCTTCAAACTTGGCTGCTTTTATGGCGTAACTTGCTGCTATATTAGCCTCGTACAGAACAGCCAGTTCGACTAAATTAACAGTGTCTGCTGATACAGACTGTACCACAATGTCGGGTCTCGCTGCTGTATCTTTTATGAACGATGGGTAGTTCCTTCCCCATGCGCTCCAAATCTGCCATGACCTTGCAATCTGTATGTGTGTATGTATGTATGTATGAATGTATGTATGTATGTATGTATGTATATATGTATGTATGTATGTATGTATGTATGTATGTATGTATGTATGTATGTAAGTATGTATGTATGTATGTATGTATGTATGTATGTATGTATGTATGTATGTATGTTAAAACCAAGACATGATGAGTGACACTGAACCGTCAAACATCAAGTAACAAATGGATTAACACTTTGATTTGTCGTTAATTGCACATGTCGGCATTCGGTTGGATGTTTTCAAGCACACAGACACGCAGGAACCGCTGCAACAAGCACAAAATGTGGTTAGTTGCGATAAACAGTTCCCTGTTGTCACCTGATCTGACATATTGCCTTAAGAAATTTAATGGTATTGAGGTCCATCGGGCCGAGAACCTCGATACATATTGACAAGAATTCCATCGAGGGGAGGGCGTTCCTATATTTTTTCATTTTCTCGTCCGCTGCCCTGGCCGCGGCCAAACCGCATTCTTTACTTGTCAGGTTTACATATCGTTCGGCAAGGGTGCCAGGGACCGTAACATCCCACGCCAAACATCTGCCGGCTCTCAAGGTATTAGTGTGCATCCATCCGGGCGCCTACCATCATGCGCAGAAATGCCGGATGGTTCCTTGAGAACCGGGATTGAAGCCTTGGAGAAGAGCCGACAAATGTATTAGTTTAGCGCTGAGTGACGTAGTTGACGGCCCCCACCCAGGCGACAAACCAAACCGTGGTGCCAAAACTCGTCCGCCCCAGCGCCACATCGGCACGTGTATTTATTTTGAATGACCAGGCCAAGTCTGAAGCCAATAGCAAATCTCACAGACTTGTCGTCAAGCCTGGTGCCCACAGAGGTGTTGGGCCACGATCTCAACCACCCACAGCTGGACATGGCCAACAAACGAGCGGTGGAAAAGTCGTCGCTGCATGAAGACAACATATTTTGAAAGATTTTTTTGATATTCTTCGTTCAAAATTTGGACGTGCGTACGGTCTCCCGGGGCGGACACTGGGGGAAGAATATCGCGGCACCGAAAAAACCGGTAGAGCAGGAAAGACTGCAGGTCGAAAGTGGCAGCGGCAAAAGAATTATAAACAACAGGAGCCAGCTGAACCACGCTAAGCAACCCCAGCCCACCAAATCGCACCGGCAGCTGAGCCTGGGACCAACCACTGTCGGTCACTTGAACATTGCAAATCGACGACAGGGCGGTGCGCAGGGCTCCGTCAAATTCGGCCAATTTAGAAGGGTCAATGTGTTTAGATGTACGCAGGAAGTACATCAATTTGAGCAAACTGGGGGCATTGCGGATAATAGTCAAGGCATCATGGGCCGAAAGACAGGAAACACGACCCAGGGCAAATTGAAACTCAGAGAGCTTTTGGTTAAAAAACTTTATTTGATAATCGCCCTCGACCAAGGGTGTGCCTAAAAAACTCAGTTCTGATGCACCAACTCTGGGTATTCTAGCCAGCGCATGTGGGACCTGAAATAAACTTTGGCAGTGAAGTTCGCATTTTTTAATGTTTAACACTAAACCAATTGCAGCGGAGTTATGCTTCAAATATTCGTAGCTATCGGCCAGAGTTTGGCCGTTCGAAGCAATGCTGATATCATCCAGATAAGCGCAAACGAAAGAGGACGAAGTTTTCTCTAGGAGTGGATGAAGAGTTAGTGCGAACAGCAAAGGACCAAGGGGATCACCCTGCTGTACCCCCTCGGACGATTCTACAACCCATGAGTGGTAGCCAAGGGAAAAGACTCCGCCATAGGCAGAATGGCAAAAATTATAGATATTGGGGCAAAAAAGTTTGACAGCCTCCAACATCGAGTCTCTTCTCAAGGCGTTGAAGGCATTTTTAAAGTACATGTATGTATGTATGTATGTATGTATGTATGTATGTATGTATGTATGTATGTATGTATGTATGTATGTATGTATGTATGTATGTATGTATGTATGTATGTATGTATGTATGTATGTATGTATGTATGTATGTATGTATGTATGTATGTATGTATGTATGTATGTATGTATGTATGTATGTATGTATGTATGTATGTATGTATGTATGCATACATGCATGCATGTATGTATGTATACACATAGTTGCAGGTACATTAGTAAGTGTACTTATATACGTTCTTTATATGTTTGCTAGGATGCTATTATTAATGACAAACAAAAGAAAAAGAAAACTAAAGAGGGAGAAAAAGGAAAAAAGAGAGAAGAAAGAGAAAAAAGAAAGAAAGATGGAGAAAGAAAGAGAGAGGGCAAATAGAAAAAAAAAATAGAGTGAAAAGGAAGAAAAAAAGAGAGATAAAGAAAGTGATTAAGACAGATAAGAGAATGAGAAGTGAAAAGTGTAAAGTTAAGTGTAAAGTGAAAGAAAGAGAGAGAGAGAAAGAAAGATAAAAAGAGAGAGAGAGAAAGAGTGATGAGGAGGTTGTTTGACTAACTCGCATTGTAAACAGTGACGACTGAATAAATATCTACCTCATCATCTCACCATAATTATAAACACCCTCCTACCACAATCATCATCATCGTCGTCGTCATAATTAACATCAGCATATCACCCTAATTATCATCATCATAGTCATCAAAAAGCCGATGATGACAACTGATGGTAAGGTTGAGATGATAATTTTTGCCATAGGATGATGATAATGATATCACTATGATACGGTGACGATACTGCTATTGGAATGATGATATAATGGTGATGGTGTGATAACGACGATGATGATGCTAACTATGAAGATTTTAATTGAAGATAATGATGACGACGATGATGACGAAATAAAAATACATAAACACAATGAATGAAAGAACGTTTAGGCAGAAAAATAAATGAATATCGCTTTCCAGCTTCCGTGAAAGAGAAAAAAAAACTCTGAGAAGAAAAGATTTTTTATCTCAATAAATTTTGCCAAATATTTTTTTTAATAAAATTTTGTTCAAATTTTTAAAACGTTTTGAAAGAATAAACAAAACGTTGAAGAAAAAATTCTTTGGAAATTAATAAATCAAGATTATTATTGTCGCCAAGAGCAATTATGAAACGTGTGGAAGAGGAGGACAGCGGTGACGTCATTAAAATCTTCATCATCGTCGTCGTCGTCACCATTACCATCTAAATTTTATTTTCATAAAGTATAAGTTCAATCTTATTCTCCTGAATAGAGATGGTATATAGCTATTAAAACTTAATTAAATGAAGGTTGCAAGGGTCGCAAAATATGAAAAATAATAACAACAACCGAGCAGCAACAACAACAACATCAACAGCATCATCAACAACAACGACAACATCAACGACAACTACAACAACAACATCATCAACAACAATATCAACAACAAGAACGACAACGACAACATCATCAACAACAACAACAACCAAAGCTACAATGGGTTAAACGACATCATCATAAACTGCAGCAGCGGGGGTTTAAAATCTGGCAAAAAAATTTCCAGAAAAAAGACTTTTATTCAATTTAATTTAATTATTTTTATTTTTCTTATAATTTATTGATTTTTTTCTGTTGAAATATTTGCAAATTGTTTTAACAAATGATGCATTAAAAGGGTTTTTCCATTTTCTTATATTCTTTGGCCATTAAATTTTTTTTAAGTTTTTCTCCCGCTATTAAACTTTTTAAAAAAAATTTCCTGTCAATTTATTATATTTTGTGTTTTTTTCAAATTTTTTCAAAGTTTATTTGTTTAAAATATTATTTTTGCTTTATTTTTGCTACTTAATTATCAATATTAATTTTATTATTGTTATTATTATTATGATTATTATTGTAAAAAGTATTGTTTTGTTTTTATTATTCTTAACATTTATTTAGTATTATTTGCTGACCAAAAGGTTAAAGGTTACTTTCTTTTTCTTTTGCGCTTGCTCCAGAGGTTTCAACGACAAACACACACTGCTTATATAAATACTCGTGAAAACCACGAATTATACGCATTGCATATGATAGGCGGGTATCTCTTTGTATTCGAACCCAGTCACTGCAGCAGCAAGACCAGGTGCTTTTAACCATTGAGCCATCACGCCGCACAAAAAGTATCTTAAAAGCACTTTCTTTCTAAAAAAATAATCTAAACATCACGCGCAAATAAAATAAGATACTGCCATAGATACTGATCTTGAGATACACACACATACAACTAGGAATAGATAAAAAAATAGAGATATGGGAATACAGGTATAAGTAGGAATAAATACATAGATACTGATATAAAGACGGAAAAGCTGAAGATACGAATAAGGATAGAGATACATATATAGATACAAGACTGTTGCTAAAGATACGGATATACGTATGAGGATAGAAATACAGTGACTGGGATAAAAATAAACATAAATAATATTTTTTTGCATTTAACAAGCACCAGATCAATCATTATTTACTCCAATTTAAAACTAATGTGACAAAAGTTTTTGTCTAATTTTTTTTCTCAAAAACCAAAAATCAAAAGGCTGGAAATAAAAATAAAATAAGAAAAGAATGATGGAAAATGATACAAACTTATTGTTTTTGACTCATTTTTTTGGAATTGTGTTATGTTCAGTGTAGTTTGCTACTGCTGCTAAATAAAAACAAAGTCTGTAAATTTATTTGTATAAATTATTTTTCTATACATTTTTCTTGCTTTTCAAAATGTTTATACTTTTATTTTTTTCTCCAGCTTTCCTAATTTCAATGGCGTGATTTTAAAGTTTGTCCTTTGGAATGAACAAAACAAGGCAAAAACAACAAAATACAAATAAAAAATAAATTAAGAATGAAAATACGGAATACAAACAAAAATATAAAAATACAAACAAAAATAAAACGGGAAGTAAAAGAACATCGTCATGAAATCGTCTGCTCGTTCAATTGTACTTGGAAGATAATGAGTGAGTGAGTGAGTAAGTGAGTGAGTGAGTGACGCAATAAAAGAAAGAAAGAAAGCAAAACGAATGAATGAACTAATTAATGAATGAACGATTGTATAAATGAATGAAAAATAGAGCAAATCAATAAACGAACCAACAACAGAATGAACAAGTGTGTAAATGAACAAGCAAATTGATGAATCAATGGATGAAAGAACTAATAAATGAATGGATGAATGGATGAATGGATGGATGAATGGAAGAATGAACAGATAATTGAATAGATAAATGAACGAACGAATGAATAGATAAACGAATGAATGAATGAACGAACGAATTAACGAATGAAAGAATGAATGAACAAACGAATAAGCGAATAAACGAATGAATGATAAATGAATAATATTAATACAAAACAATCAATCAATTTCATCGTCTCTTAATTTTCTTTATAAATTCGCTCCTCAGCCAAAGGATGGTGATGGATTCATTTCGTGGAATTAAATATGGATAACAACGCATAGTTTGAAGACGATCAATTTATTTGGAAGAACGAATAATTGAATGAACGAATGAACGAACGAACGAACGAACGAACGAACGAATGATTAAATGAATGAATAGATAAATAAAAAAAAGAAAGAACAAATGATAAGAATTTGTCTATAGCATGATCTCGGTATTATCTCTGCAAGGAATTTAATTAATCACGATCAATATCAACGTCATCAACATTATGAATTATTATTATTATATATTATTATTATGTAATTTATAAATTATTATAATTGTCATCGAAACCACGTCATCGTCGTCGTCATCATCGCATCGGCGCTTCATATTCGTCACCAGCTGTTACAAACAGCGTCCTTAAAAGAGTTCTCGGACGGAGGCTTTCACAGGTTGCTGTAAAAATGCAATAACAATGAATGGCCATCCGCGCTAAATATTCTGCTGTCATAAGCTGCTGCTTTTAAGCTATTAGCAGCTGTGGCTAAACTATTGTCGGCTACTAATTAGCTATCGACTACTAGAACTATAACAAAAACATCATCAGAGTATGAGCAACATTTACAAAAATAAAAATCTATCTCCCAATGTTATGTTTTTGCTACTGCAACTACTACTACTGCTACCAATAATACTGCATCTATTACGGCTACTTTTACTACTACTATAATTAATACAACTACTGCTACTACTATTACTACTACTACCACTACTACTACAACTACAACTACAACAGTGTTGGTTACAAAAGTAATATTAATTACATTAATTATACTTTACAATCCTCGAAACGATTGTACCTCTGCAGCAATAAAACAAAAACAACAACAATAACAACATCATAATCACTACTGAAAAAAAAATGACTTCACAAACAACAACAACAACAACAACAACAGACACCTATGACATCATTAACGATGACAAGAACAACAACGACATATATAACATTAACAAATAAAATGAAAAGACATTAATAACAACAATAATAACGACCAACAGAACTAACAATTAATTGCAATGATGACTACGACGACGATGATGATATGAAGAACTATGTCAGAAATTGTTAAATTAATAATGCATTAGTTACAGCGCTAAATCATTATTATCATCATCATCATCATCATCAGTGATGTCATCATCATCGTCATCATCCTCAGTGACGTCATCATTACCACTGCTAATCATCATCATCATCATAGTCTTCATATCGTGATAATCGTCATAGTCATCGTCTAAAGATAATATAACTAACATCATTGAAACATCAACGAGCACAATACTTTAATAATAATAATAACAACAAATACAATGCTTAACAACAACAAATACAATACTTAACAACAATAAAATCAACCACAGCAACAAGTACAATACAATACAAAAACAACAACAACAACAGCAACAGCAACAACGACAACAAAACAACCACAGCAACAAGTACAATACAATACAAAAACAACAACAACGACAAC